TTATAGTGCCAAGCTACAGTGTGTATATCCCTGAACATGATCGGTATCGTTTTAAAAGAGTGGTCTTTTATTTAAAATCTACCTCACCAAGAGATATTGGTCATAATTAACCAAACTTACCGTTTAGTAACACAGACACCAGCCAGAAGAAACCAAAAAGACAAACAGTTAATCACCACCAAAAAAAAGGTCATTACTCTTCTCCTTTTTTCAGCAGCTGATACTTTTATCCCATATAAACTGCAATCTGAATTGTGAAATTCTCTCTTCAAAACCTGCATTATGTTCCCTCATTGAAACATACCTTTCCAATTTGTGACTTCACATTTGTAAACAAAAGAATCTGTTGTGTGTCTTGTTTTTCTAGCAGAATGGAACAGAAGAACATCGTGCTGAGCGATTACAAAAAGCAACAGAACGTTTTAGAAATCCTGTTGTGTTTAGCAAGGACTCTACAGTCAGAAAAACTCAGCTTCAGTCTTTCAGTCAATATGTTGAGAACAGACCAGGTAGGAGAAAATATAAAACATGTTTTCCCATCTTATGATTTCATAATATTTAACAATAAATATATTAAAAACCTGATAATGTAAGTCCACATTTCAATACACAAATATCAAGCTTTATAATAATTTTACATGTATTTCCCCTTTTTTCAAGAGATGAAAAGGCAGAGATCAATACAGGAAGATACAAAGAGAGGAAATGAGGAGAAGGCTGCGATAACTGAAACTCAGAGGAAGCCATCAGAAGATGAAGTGCTTAATGTATATTAATTTTTTGTCTGGTTTCATGATTGCTGATAATTCCAAACTGTATGTGGAAATAGTGCCTTTATTTGTTAAAATGAGATGTTAGGTTTTTTTAGATGTCAATCTCCAGTGCATTCAAAGCAGAGTGAGAGGGGTGCGCTGTTGAATTAGTCTGCAGTGTGGTGATAATTGTCAGATAAAAAAAATGAATTTTTCAGAGTTCCACAGCCCCAGCTTCCTTGAGACATTTCCATCAGGGCACTTCCCATAAAGAGATTCCAGTATTGATCTACCGGGAGGATTTTAATTATTACAATAGCAGATACCGCAGAGCTGCAGTTAGAGGGAAGAGTCACATGAGACCTGCTAGAATTTCTCAGCCAACCCATTTTGTTGGCTTGGGTTAATGGGTGTTCAACCTTTCCATTATCCAGATCAGCCGTGAATTACTAGCTGAATGATGTTTGCATTAATATAATATATATGGTAATTTCTTCACTTAATTAACGGGGAGGTTCAGCTCAGTAGGGGTATGGGCTGATCATGTGTAAAATTGATTTGTGAGGGAAATATTTGATAGACCGCAGGGAGAAAGCTGCTTTTGATGGACAGCTGTGGGACAGAAGCAGGAAGAACAAGTTTGAACCTGAATTTTTTGTCTAGGAGCACAACATAAGTCTTTGATGGTGGTCAATTGTTGTTCTCCACAGTTTATCTAAATGCGTCCATTGTTTTTAATGAAGCAACAAAGCAATGACTAGAGATTTTGTAAGGCTGTCATACTTGCACTAAATGATCCAACTTGTTAGCAACCACCCAGCTATTTTTTAGTGTAGTTGTACTTTAGCAAAGCTAAAATGGTCTGACACAGTGAGTTCACATTATATATGCAGATGATACACATGAACTCTTGGGATATTACATCCTGACACAGCATTTCTTTTCATCTTCTAATAACATTGTGAACAATTATGCATGCTGACATTACTGAAGTTTGCATACTATTTTCAATTAATTGTAGCTGATGAAAGGAAATACATTTCATGTATCATACATCACCTTAGCTCCTCCAGATTTATTATTTCCTTCATGTACTCCATTTAGAGGCTGTATCTCAATACTTTTTTTAACCTGTGAGATGGGGTTTGAAAAAAAAAAAGATTTTCTTTAGAACTGTTGATTTCTGCTGATATGTTTGTAAGCAGAGAGAGCAAAACAAAGTGCTGGTAGCAATGTGACTGAGTTAGCAGATGCCCCAGTCCTGAAAGTAGTATACTGGTTATTATTGTGGGACATATGCCTTCTACCAATCTTCCCTTTGAATGTGTCTTATTTTTTTTGCAATCATTATTATCTTGATTGTCTGATGCAAGCTGAATTGGCACTTTCAGTGATATGTAAAATATTTTCAAAGTAGCTATGAACTCACATGCAGCAACAAGTTAGCCACTGAGGAGAAAATACAAATGCAAGCACAGAGCTTGCTTTTTTTTTTCCTGTTCCCAAAGGACAGTGGTCTTAGGTAGGTTTCAGCCAAAGAAAAGTTGGAACCTGAGATCAAGCTTCATTTGTACCAGCCTTCTCAAAATGAAAACTTTCTGAAGAAAGCTTGTATAGATTTCCTGATGATTGAAGCAAATGCAGAGATGTTTTTTCTCAAATAGTAGTATTTTCCCCTCTAACTTCTTAAGCAAAAACAACAGCTCAGTTACAATATTTTGGCACCGTTTATGTCCTCTGCTACCTCAGAGAAGCACATAAACCAAAAGAATGCTCCAGAGGCAGTAAAACACAATCTAGCCACATGAAAATAACTTTGAGGCACTTAATCACCTATTCTCTAACCCTAGTGAGGGGAAGCAGCTATTCTGTAAAACAGAATTGTTGAGTGAGTGTGTTCATGGAAATGTTGGTATATTTGTGAAGTCTGGCATATGCTGTCCTTTAAGACGGTACTAAGTCATGGAGAGAGAGGATAAACTTGATTTTCTAGTGCTCTTTAACTTTTCTGGCATAAAAAATGTATATGTGCTTTGTAAAATCTACATACAGAGGCTTCATTGGACTAGGGGATTAACCAAACCAGGGAGGAGGGGTGGATCTAGGCTATAGTCCCACTGCACCTGAGAGACTCTGCAGTGGATTCTGTCACCACCTCTCAGGATAAGAATCGCAGCTTCATTAATTAGCAGTACTTTTACAGATCATTGTTTAACAGAGCTATAGCCTGCAGTAGAGAAACCTGAAGAGGCATTACAGCCAATCTGGTGAGTGTCACCATTAAAATTGACCCAGAGGAGCTGAACAAGAGAGGAAGCTTTTTGGTTTTTGTGTTTTAACCTCAGGAGCCCACATTTTAATTGTTATGAAGAGACCTAAAACACATCCCCTTAAGTTTAAAATAAAATAAAAACTGGTAGTAATAGAACTGGCATCTCTAATAGTCCCTTACTTGGAATAATGCTCCAGCTTTCAGTATACTTTATGTTATAAAAGTGTTAACTGCTTAGAAATAAATTATGCAGAATTTCAAAAAGCTTGATTGTTTAAAACTGAAAACGCAACATTTAGACGTAAAATGTTCTGTAAGGAATCAGTTTTTTTAAAAAACAAATTATGGTATCTGGCAAAATTGTGAAATATATGAAATGCAAGTGTTAGCTTTTTGGTCGAGAGCATGCTATTTGGTTGTTTAGGTAAGTGCCTTACTAAGTGTTTGTGGAAAGGAAAAATGCAACTTACAAGTGATGTTTTTTCTTCTTGTTTGTTCTCTCTAACAGAAAGGGTTCAAAGACACCAGTCAGTATGTTGTAGGAGAATTGGCAGCACTAGAGAATGAGCAAAAGCAAATTGACACCCGTGCCGCGCTGGTGGAGAAGCGCCTTCGCTATCTCATGGACACAGGTACGGTGCCCAATTACACTGTAAACAGTTTTGGCAAATTGAGCGTTCACAAACTCTTATAGAGTTTTGGAAGTGTGAATCTTTGAAGCCTGAATGTTCAGCAAAACTGCCTTGAAAATAAAAAGGCTGCGATTTGCAGCCACCTCTCTGGGCCCTGGTGATAAGAGTGCCTTCATGGGAAGTGATAACTTGCCCTGATACCGTGTGAGCCAGCACTATTGAACAGTGTGCTCATCCATGCAGAGTTGGAATACACATCTGTGCCTCATTGATATGCCACTGCTAAAAAAAAAAAAAAAAAAGTAAGATCTTCACTGTTCTACTGATTCAGTGGGAAAAAAAAGATTTGGCCAGCTAAAGCCATGTACTGCATGAAACAGAGCACAGTGCATGGGGGAAAGCTCCATTGACTAGATCACTGAAATTTGAGAATACTATCTGGTTACTGATGCTCCACAATTATTTTTTTTTTTTTCAGGAGAGCAGGTTTTAAAAAGTCTGTAATACTTGGTGTCACAGGTGCAGTTGAAAGGATTAAAGTATATAGTCATTTTTTTTGTAAAATGCATTGTGGTTGTGAGTTCCAGTCCACAATGAATGTTAGATTGGTGGTATATGCTGATTGGAGATAGAGAAGGTTTAACAGCATCATACCATTTGAAACAAATAGTACTTCAGTATTTCAATAGTAAATAATGTTTGCTGTAATATAGAAAATATTATACCTATGCCTTGAAATGATAGTGATGGGAAGAAAAGTTAGTTGCCATATGTTGGTTTGTGATTAAATTACCTTATTAACAACATACACATATCATGATAATATAAACTTCAAGTCTGAGTTCACCTTCAAAAGGAAGGAGATTTATAAGTAGGCAGACAATCCAGTCAGGTGCTGTTATTAAGTATGAAGATGAATAGGTTAAATAAATCATGAAATGAGGATGCAATATGAACCCAACATTTTAAGGACTTTATTTGCTTGTGGATTCACTAACATACTTAGGTGAGCTACTACTTTTTTTAGTTAAATTGACCCAAACAAAAGGAATTTATCTCTTATATGACAGTCATATTTTAATAGATTAAGGCTGTGAGACATTCTGTAGGGGGTTTTCTGCCTTTAGTGACACTTTAAAGCTAAAATGTACATATGTCATCTTATTTCCTTGTATGGACTCTGTTATATATGTTAAACACATTACTCACTCAGAGGAAGCTATTACAGAATCTCGTATATGTCTTAATTGAAAAGTCATATGAACTTGGACACCTATTTATCATCTTCAAACACAGTAACCAATATATTTAGTTTGAATTTTTCTTGGTTGTTATATGGTTACTGATTTTTTTTCTACTTGATTTTTCATTACGTTTTACAAAAATACAAAAAGAGTTACTATATGCTTCAGGTTCTGGTTATAAAGAGATGGAATTTTGCTGTCAAAATGACTAGGAGTGTCTTATAAGGGTGTATATCATCTGGCAGGTGTAATTCAGACTGGATTTGTATGGCAGTTGTGTGAGTTTCCAGTATTACAGATGGAGCACCGTAGGATACTGTGATGCAAAAGAGTCTTTGGAGGTTTTTGACCTATTTCCATCTGATGTTTATCAAATTTCCTTCCTTAAACATTTAAACAAATGGTTTGGCAGGTGCACAGTGGCAATTCCATTTACCTTCTCAAAATAAAAGTACAAGTATAGTGAAAACATTTAAAAAATTGAATCTCTTGACTAACTTAACTTCATAGCCTCAAAAGCACGGGCTCTCAAACTTTTCAAACTGTGGATCACATCTTAATAGAGATATTAACTTATGTACCAACTCCCTTGACAATCAATATCCTGTTTGTCATTTATATAACATCCCTGTGGCAGCTAAGACAGACAGTTGCTTACATGGAAAGGTAATATGAGGAAAGTGTTTGTTTTTATAACTCTCCCTAATGTAATGCAACTTTACTGGGGGGAAACATCAATGGTCCCATTTTGCTCTTCCTCTTAAAAAGAATCTATTCTGTTCCATTTGTCTGTCCTGTACATGCTTCTCCCTACACTGATCCTAGGGTTTAGACAGACAACAATTATATTGCTCTGGTGGGGTAATTAATATAATCTACAGTAGATTTTTGTGGGTGATATTTTTTATTGGACCAATTGCAAGGTTTGGCTAGACTTAGATTTGCTATTGAATCCAGTGCATCCTTCCTAAGCTCACCGGCAAAAATCCATGTCTCTCACATATTTCCTGGATCATCACAGCTGCCACATCAGAGGGACACTGCCATAAGCTACAATGAAATGGTTACATCTGCATGATTCTGTAGTGATACAAACATGGCAAAATTGTTCTAACTTGACCTCTTTCAACCAGAGTCAAATGTAGGGCAATTTAGCTAACTTGTATCGCTATGAGATCATACAAATGTTAAGAGTTACACTTACGGCTGTGGGCTGTCAAGCAGCTTCTGGAATCAAGAGCTCTTTTTAATAGGTAAAGCTAAAACGTTTGTCCACACCCCTAGCTTTCCTTGCTTCCCTGCAGATGCTTTCTATCTGTTCCTCTTCTCCCATTCCTCCATGCCTGTCTGTTCTGCTTCCTGCTTCTGATATGTGGCAACTCCATGCATTGGTGGTGGTTTATGAAGTAGCTAGTAGTGGAGGCAGGTAAGCAGACTGCTGCTCCTCATTTCCAGGTCTTGCTCAAGCATCCAGGTTTCTCTTTTTTGGTGCCTGCATGCCTGTAAAAATGTCTGGAAAGAGGGAAGAAGAATCAATACCTTCTCATGTACCAGACCACCAGCAAGGGCTTTCCAGCTCAGAGGGTGAGAAAAAAATAACCACAGCCTGACAGGCTAAAAAGCTCTGAAGTGCTGTTGATGTTTTGTGGGTTGGGCAAATACCATCTCAATGGTTGGTCTACAGCAGCAAGCTGAGGAAAACAGTGTTATTATCTTTCCCAGTTTTATTTTATGTCTCCTTAAATTGGCTGCTTTTCTTAAAACCTGAGCTGCTGAAGTAAAGAGCTGCATGAGCAGCTTGAGTATCTTAAAGGCCTGGAAACAAGAAGGCAACCAAAAGGGACATCAAATATATCATTTGAAGAAGAAAAAAATATCCCTTTTAACCAGTTTCATGATTTTGAGGCCAGTGCTATGATTATTTTTGTTTTTATGCTTGGGGTTGTGGAGAATCACATCAGTGCTACTATCTTATTGCCGAATGTATTGGGAAGCACTCCTAGTAGAACTGAATGTTTGAACCTTCATGCACCTGGACACAGCAGCTCCCAGAAGTGCCTAGTACTTCTGATAGCTCTCCTGATGATTCAGCCAGTGAAGAAAATAAAGGCATTGCTTGTTCATCCCCATTGTATCTGTTGCTAACTAGGCCATTGCTTCTTTCTCCATTGCATTTGGTACTGTCATTTCTTAGATTCCCTTCAAGCAGAAAGCTCTGTCCTCTTCCTCCTCCTCCCTTTTCTTCCTAGATAACTTTTCATTAGGAAGGGGTAGTGCCCTTTATGTCACAGGGGATGACTCTGGCTGGTATTCCCACACAAGTTACAGTGGGAGAACAAGTCCGTTTCCCCCACAGTCATTCCTTTTAATACCCTTAGTCTAGACTGGGGTGCTCAACCTTTTGGCCCTGTGGGCCAGATGAGTAGCATGGGGGCATCTGATGGGTCAGATGAGACTTGGCACTGCCCCCTCCCTGCTCCATGTACCAGGATTGAAGCCCTGGTGCCACCCCCTTCCACCCTCCTCATTCTGAGATCGGGTCCTAGGGGGCCAGTGCTGCCCCTTCCTGCCCCCTCATACCAGGATTGGGTCCTGGGTGCTGGTGCTATCCCCTCCCACCTACCTCGCACTGAGATTGGATCTAGTACACAGGGCCCAGGGTTCTCTATAGGTCCATGCATTTGAAAGCAGTGTCACCACTGTCCCACTGTCTAATTTCCAGTCTCAGGGGGAGCCCCATGGGCTGTATGACACAGCACTGTGGGCCAGATCTTGCCCATGGGCCCGGAGGGTGAGGACCCCTGACCACTCAAATAGGGTGACTGCTCCTTTGGCTTTGGTGGATATGGAAAAATAGGTGGGTTGTACCTGAAAAAAAACAACGATGGCAGATCAGGCAGAGGCAGTATGTGCTGATGGCTAAAACTCCAGGTCCTAGAATCACAACCCAGGTTGGTCTTGGTTGTTCTTCTGCAAAACTCTGCTGACCTAGTCCATTAAGTTCCAAAGGGGATTAACTTCAGCTCCTCTGGTCAGGTGAAGCATTACCAACACTACTTCAGCAGAGAATTCTGCATATGTGAGAAGAAGGGCTTAGTGGTTCTGGCTCCCTCTCCTTAGCTAAAGCAATCAACTGTCCTGAATTTTCTGGGACAGCCTTAATTTGGGAGCTTGGATCCTGGTGTCTCCACAGACTCTCTGAAATGAGATTTTGTCCCAAAATCAGAATATTGATTCTGAATAAGCCAAATTCCCTGGACGTTCCTCTTAGCAGATACAACATGACTCTGCCTGGTGCTGTGTGAATGTGTTATGCTGCTTCCAGTTCAGGAGGCAGCTGTCAGCCAGATTCACACAGTGCTGTGCCCAGACTAATTAACTCTGCCTGGCAAGTGCACCCAGTGCAATGCCATGTGAATGCAGCCATACTAACTAGCTCCATCCACAGGGCTTCACTAAAGGCAGCTAGATTGCTGGAAGTGGTGTAAGGCAACTTCCAGAGATCTGAATTCAGGATTGTGCCCTGGATTTTGCCATCCAGAAGTTGGTTGTTTTATCTAAGCAGAAACATTGCGTTTCCTTGGGTAAGCACTATGGTAGAGAGGGAAGGAAGGGATGGCCTGGCTTCTCCTGAGGAAGAGTGATAAAGAAGTCCCATGCCACTGCCCCTGCTTTCTTATGGGAGTGGAGCAACAGGGCCCATGTAATGTGTCCTGGGACTGCTAGGACCCTGGATGGCTATAAATGGCTGTGGAA